AACCGCCTGAGACATCCCCACACAATCCAGCGAAAGGGGCCGAGTGAAATACCCCCCCGCTGCTCCCCTTAGAGTGCTGAAACCAGCGAATCGCCTGAGACATCCTCCAAATCTGCTCCGAGAGCGAAACATGTTGAAAGAGAAACTGGCCAAACCGCCTGAGACATCCCCACAAAATCCCGCGAAAGGGGCCGAGGGAAATACCCCCCCCCGCCGCTCCCCTTAGAGTGCTGAAACCAGCGCGTCACCTGAGACCTCCTCCAAATCTGCTCCGAAAGCGAAACATGTTGGAGGAGAAAAGGCAAACCCGCCTGAGACATCCCCACAAACTCCCGCGAAAGGGGCCGAGGGAAATACCTCCCCCCGCCGCTCCCCTTAGGAGTGCTGAAGCCAGCGAATCGCCTGAGACATCCTCGCAAACTGCTCCGACAGCGAAACATGGTGGAAGAGAAACTGGCCAAACCGCCTGAGACATCCCCACAATTACTCGACGCGGGGCTCCCCATATGTGCATCTCATTCTCTTGGTACGTCTTTCTATTGATATCTGTCAGTGAGCGCATGTGTGCGAGGGCGAACCGCTCGCTCGAGACATTCCCACAGTCTGCAAGCATGCGTGCGACCAATAGCAAATCTGAGAGCGACTGATTCTGAGTGTGAGTTAATATGGGTGCGATTGAGCCTGTGTTTGATTGGGTATGCGTGTGAGTAAATATGAGCGCGAGTGCGTCTGCGTGCGAGTGGGTCTGAGTATGGACGAATCAGAGTGTGAGCCAGTCTGTGTTTGAGCGGATCGTAGCATGATGAGTCTGCGCATGAGTGAGTCTGGGCTTGAGTGGGTCTGAGTGTGAGAAAAGTGTGTGTTAATGAATATGTGAGTGAGCCGAGTGTGATTGGGTATGGATGTGAGGCAGTCTGAGTGTGAGTCGGTCTGCGTTTGAGCGAACCGAAGGATGATGAGTCTGAACAGGAGCGAGTCTGAGTATGAGTGGTTCTGAGCGTGAGTCTGAGTGTGAGTAAATTTAAGTATGGATATGAGCGAGTCTAAGTGCGAGTGAGCCTGCGTGTGCCTGAGTCTGAGTATGAGTGAATATGAATGCAGAAGAGTGAAGGAGAGCGGAGAGCGACGGAGAGTGAGGCGGAAGCGTTTGAGTAAAACCTAAAGCCTTGGAACATCGAACCTCGATCGTCTGGCCCTGGCTACTCGAGTTGCCCACGTCCTCCTCCTCCTCCTCCTCCTCCTCCTCATCAGCATCATCATCATCCTCCCCTTCCTGCTTCTGCTCCTACCGTGTTCATGCTGTTCTCCTTCTGCTCCTCCTCCTCCTCCTCCTCGTCCTCTTCCTCCTCCTCCTCGCTTCCTCATTCTCTTCCTCCTCCTCCTCCTCCTCATCTTCCTCCTCCTCCTCCTCCTCCTTGTTGGGAGTACTGAAACCAGCAAATCGCCTGAGACATCCTCCCACAACTGCTCCGAAAACGACAGATGCCCAGCATCATAACGGCCAAACCGCCTGCGACATCCCCGCAAGCTGGGCGCGAACGTCCTCCAAATCTGCTCCGAAAAGCGAAACATGTTGGAAGAGAACATGGCCAAACCGCCTGAGACATCCCCACAAAATCCGGCGAAAGGGGCCGAGGGAAATACCCCCCCGCCGCTCCCCTTAGAGTGCTGAAACCAGCGAGTCGCCTGAGACATCCTCCAAATCTGCTCCGAAAGCGAAACATGTTGGAAGAGAACATGGCCAAACCGCCTGAGACATCCCCACAAAATCCGGCGAAAGGGGCCGAGGGAAATACCCCCCCGCCGTTCCCCTTAAGAGTGCTGAAACCAGCGAATCGCCTGCGACATCCTCCAAATCTGCTCCGCAAACGAAACATGTTGGAAGAGAACATGGCCAAACCGCCTGAGACATCCCCACAAAATCCTGCGAAAGGGGCCGAGGGACATACCCCCCCGCCGCTCCCCTTAGGAGTGCTGAAGCCACAGAATCGCCTGACACATCCTCAACATCAGTGTGTGTGTGTGTGTGTGTGAGTCATCCGATGAGTGGACCTGAGTGAATGTAGTGAATGTATGAGTACAAGTACGAGTGAGTCTGAGTGATGAGTGAGTCTGAGTGATGAGTGAGTCTGAGTGATGAGTGAGTCGGAGAGATGAGTCTGAGTCATGCCTGAGTCCGAGTGAGGAGTGAGTATGAGTGATGAGTGGGTATGAGTGATGAGTGGGTCTGAGTGATGAGTGAGTCTGAGTGAGTCTGAGTGATGAGTGAGTCTGCGTGATGAGTGAGTCTGAGTAGGTCTGAATGAGAGGAGTGGTGTGTTCTCGTCTGTGTTCTCCTCCGGCGCGGTCCGCCAATAACAAGAACCCCATACTTAGGATATGGGGAAAATCCGCGAAAGGGGCCGAGGGAAATACCCCCCCGCCGCTCCCCTTAGGAGTGCTGAAGCCACAGAATCGCCTGACATATCCTCAACATCAGTGTGTGTGTGTGTGAGAGTCACCCGATGAGTGGACCTGAGTGAATGTAGTGAATGTATGAGTACAAGTACGAGTGAGTCTGAGTGATGAGTGAGTCTGAGTGATGACTGATGGGTGAGTCTGAGTGATGAGTGAGTCTGAGTGATGTGTGAAGAGTCTGAGTCATGACTGAGTCCGAGTGATGAGTGGGTCTGAGTCATGCCTGAGTCTGAGTGATGAGTGAGTCTGAGTGATGATTGAGTCTGTGTGATGGGTGGGTCTGAGTGATGAGTGAGTCTGAGTGATGAGTGAGTCTGAGTGGTGAGTGAGTCTGAGTGATGAGTGAGTCTGAGTGGGTCTGAATGAGAGGAGTGGTGTGTTCTCGTCTGTGTTCTCCTCTGGCGCGGTCCGCCAATAACAAGAACCCCATACTTAGGATATGGGGAAACATAGTACGGGGACGATTTTCCCATTTTATTTTCCTTGTATTCTATGATTAGATTGGCTATTCGGTTTTTCCTACTGGCTTATTTTACATTATTGTGTGACAATTGTCCTTTGTCCTCCAACATCCGCCTGTAGGGAGACGTGCCCGACCGCGCAGGCCCGCCGAAGAGGGCGGCCCGGCCCCGTATCTAGCGCGCGGCCCAGCGGCGGCGCGAGGCCGCGGGGCGCCGCGCGCTGGCGCCGAGAGGCCGCCTGCTGCAGACGGGGAGCGAGGAGCGAGGAGCGAGGAGCGAGGAGCGAGAAGCGAGGAGGAGGAGGAGGAGGAGGAGGAGGAGGAGGAGGAGAAACAAGAGGAGGAGGAGCAGGAGGAGGAGCGAGGAGGAGGAGCGGGGAGGAGGAGGAGGAGGAGGAGGAGGAGGAGGAGGAGGAGGAGGAGGAGCGAGGAGGAGCGAGGAGGAGGTTTCGGTGCGGTCTGAGAAAGCCGCGACGCCCGATACATCCTCCACGGCCGCCGGATCTTAGAGATTCTCGATTTATCCTCACCCGAATATATCCTCGTTCATCTTCGTTTCATGAGCTTCAGAGGAAGGGTCAGATCATCGGTGTGATCGAGAATGTTGAGGTTGTGCTGATTACACAATCGCGCCCTATATCTTCCCAATCCTTTCCCTCCAACTCCACAGTTGTATCTACGAATCTGAATCCTCCTCTCCCTCATCCCCAGAAGTTGTCCAGACGATCCCCCGCCCCCTGCGCGTGCTGTTTTCCCATCCCCCCCTAGATTTGTTGTTTTTGCGCTGCTGTTTTTCCTCAATGTTCTGTTTAACATCCGATGGTTTCGAAGCGGTGTTCCCGCTGCAGCGTGGGCCTCGTCGTCGGCTCGGTGCCCTGCTTCCGTCGTCCAGCAGAACTGGCGCTCTCGCGCGCCCGCGCGGGCCATTTTTTTCCCCCTGGATCCGAGTCTTGCTTCACACTGTGGCGCCCCCCTCCTTTCTCGGAGGTTGATAAGCCTCCTACCCTGACACGTCGATTCGCGAATTGGCCGGTTTCGGTTCGCGAGAGGGCGTCGCGGCCGTCAGTTTTGCGGGTCCAGGTCCGTTGGTCTCGGTCCCGGGCCGTTTTCACTAAAGGGTGGTTTACTAAAGGGAGGTTTGTCCACCGCCGACTTTTCCCTCCTCCGCCTTCCCCTGGTCCTCCTGTTCCTCCTGCTCCTTCCACTCCAGTTCCTGCTGCTGCTGCCCGTCTCCCTCTCCAGCGCGGGCCATTGATTCCGAATCCGAGCCTCTTTTCATCGTTGTCGCCCTCCGTAAATCCCCTTCTCCGCCTTCCACTGGTTCTCCTTCTCCCGATCCGTCCGCTTTAGTTCCTGCTGCTGTTGTTCGTCCTCATCCTTTGCCTCCCGCTCATCCTCCTGCTCACCCACCACTTCCTCCTCCTCCTCCTCCTGTGCACGCAGCTCCCCTTTTGTCATTGCGCATAACACGAAGTAATCTTTCTGTGGGAGTCGCAGGTCGGCTATGATGCGCGTCCGCGGATAGCGAAAAATCAGCGCCATGGGAACGGATGGGATGTCAGATGGTGCGCTAGCGCACCTAGCTTGTACCCCCCCTCTCTCTCTCTCTCCTCGCTCTTTCCCTTTCGCCAGACAGCACAGACTGCCAAGATCGAGAGAACTCCCTCTCCCACGGATGGGGCTCGGTTCGACTGGCTCGGTCATGCCAGCGGTCCGATCGGTGTGCGATTCCCGGCAGGCTTTGGACGGCCATAGGGGCCAAGTAGGCACTTCCGCGGCCATGTTAGCTCGAAGGGTGCTCCGCCTTGAGGGCATGCCGAGGTAGCCCCGGCTGGGAGCCTGGGTCCCCCGCCCAAGCATTGGGTCGGGCATGTCCCCCCTACAGGGGGATTTCGGACGAAAAACAAAAAGGTCAAGTGAAGAATAACAAATTGTCAAAATGGGCAAAAAATGTGCAAACAATCGTTCCCATATTACTTCTTCGACTATCTTTGGATTCTCCTCCTGCAGAGGGACACGCCCGACTCAACCCGAGCACTTCCGAGCCAAGGCCCCGCCCGAGGGCCGGCCCTCCTCCGCGCACATGCCGCGGAGCGAGTGCCCCGACTGCTTCGGGGAGGGCAAGGTCACCGAGGAGACCGCGAAGAAGTGCCACAACTGCAACGGCGTGGGCTCCAAGGCCGCGGGCCGGGGCAGCCGCTTCGTCTGCAACGTCTGCGAGGGTGAGGGGGAGCTCGTCCAGGGGAGCGAGCCATGACGTGCACATAAAAACTCGGAGGTCCGCGCTGATTTGTCGGATCGGCGCTGGACCCCCCTCCCTGGCGCGCGGAGCGCGCCAGGGGCGGCGCCGGAGGCGCCGCCAGGGGGCCCCAGCGCCGATCCGAGACACCCGCGCGGACCTCCGAGTTTTTCGGAGGTTCACAGACCTCCTACCCTGACACGTCGATTCGCGAATTGGCCGTTTTCGGTCCGCGAGAGGGCGTCGCGGCAGTCATTTTTGCGGGTCCGGGTCCGTCGGTTTCGGCCCCGGGCCGTTCTCACCAAAGGGAGGCTTACCAAAGGTCGGCGGCGGGCGAGGGGAGGGAGTGAGAAGGAGCATGCCTTCTCAGAGTGCTCGGAAGTCCCCCAGCCTTCTGAGAAGAGAAGTTTCCTGAGCCTTCCCCGAAGACGCAGCAAACTGCCAGAAGGCGCAAGGGCTCCTGAGAAGTCCCGCAGCCTTCTGAGAAGGCCTTCTCCTCTTCATTTTCCCCCCCTCGCCCGCCGCCCACAAGGCAGGTCTGCCCACCGCCGAGTTTTGAGGTGCACGTCACCGTCTGTTGCCCTGTCGTCGACCGGGCCGAGCGGGACTGCCCCGCGTGCGGCGGCACGGGCAGGGCCGGCGCCCCGGCGCAGCAGGGCATGGGCCTCGGGCGGATCTTCGGCAGGGGGCGCGAGGAGGAGCAGCCGGAGGACGACGCCCGGGGGCGCCGCGGCCGCGAGGGGGGCGACGAGGACCGCGGGCGAAGCCTGAGATCCTGGCGTCTCCATGCTTTCGAGCCGGGCGTGTTCGCCCGTTTTCGGTCCCCATATGGGGCCCTCACGGGTCGATGCGGCCCGAGAGGGGTGACGCAGAGAGATGTGGTCTGTAGGGCTTCGGGTGTGATTTCTACGATGTTGCAGTTTTTCTGCTACGTCGGATCTCAGGGAAGGACATCATCCGTATCCGCAGCCTCGTGGGCCGGGCCCCTGGGCCGCGACTCCGCGGATACGCAGGCGGTCGCAAACACGGATCAAGGGGGCGTGGATTAGCGACGGGTCCCGTTTCCATGGGAAGTCGCGGATTGCCGCCGCCGAGCGAGGCGGCACCGGCAGCATTTTCGGGAGGGCACCTCCCCCGATGCACGGATTTGGCGACCGCGCGCCAGATCCATGGATCGCTGCTCCATGCCTGCGCGCCCCCGAGATGCGGGGCGCTTTCTTGTCGCGGAGGTCCCGCGCGGAGCGTATCCGTGCCACCGCGCATCGGCGAGGTCGCGCCCGGGAGTCCAGAGCGTGAGGGCGCGGGATGCGGATGTGTTCGCCGCTCGTGGGGTCGAGGAGGCGGGCGGCTCGGCCCCGAGGCGGCCCGCGGCCGGTGCGCGCGGGGGGGAGGAGGCGAGCGTGCCGCGGCCCGCGAGGGAGAAGAGCGCGGCCGGCGCGGCGGCCGACGCGGCCGCCGAGGTGGCGCAGCGGGGCGCGCTGGCGGCCTTCGGGGTGTCCGGCAGGGGCTTCCACTGGCACGAGGGGCGGGGGCTGGAGGTCGACCTCTTCTTCAGCCCAGAAGGCCGGAAGGCGGCGCGGCCACGGGTGCGGTGAGGCTTCGGGCTAATTGCGCGCAAACAGCGCCCTCCAGGTGGTCGTCCCAGTCGGCCTCAAAAGGCCCCCGAGTACTTCCAGCTGGCCTCAGACAGGCTCCCCGAGTAGTCCGGGCGGTCTCCACACCGTGGTGCCGCCTCCAGCGCCTTGGGGGTGAGGTGTTGAAGTCGCTGTGGACTGCTCGGGGGGCCTGCCGAGGCCGGCTGGAACTAGGTCGCCTGCTGAGGCCGGTTGGGGCTACCTAGGGGGGGGGGGGGGCTGTCTGCGCGTAGCCCGAAGCCTCACCACACGGGTTGGCGAGCGGAGGGCGGCATATGAGGTGAGCTCGTTCCGCCCTCGGGGGCGCCGAGGGGAAGTGTGTGGCAGGCGCCCCCGACGGCGGGAAGCTTTAGCGTTTTTTCCGCTCTCCATTCGCTGCAGACGCTTTCGGAGGTCCGATGCCGAGAAGTCTCGGGTCGGCGCCAGACCTCGCCTCCCGCGCCCCCCAGGGAGGAGGGAGGAGGGAGGAGGGATGAGGGACGAGGAGCAGGAGGAGGAAGGGGGAAGGGAGTAGGAGGAGGAGGAGGAGGAGGAGAAGGAGGAGGAGGAGGAGGAGGAGGAGGAGGAGGAGGAGCAGGTGGAGCAGGAGGAGGAGGAGGAGGAGCAGGAGGAGGAGGAGGAGGAGCAGGAGGAGGAGGGGCAAGGGGGCTTGGAGAGGGGGGTCGAGCGCCGGCCCGAGGGATCCGCGCGGGCCTCTGAACGTCTCTGCTTACGCCGTTTTCTTGCACTTCTGTCAGCACCAGGTGCCTCTTGACCACCCTCGGGAGCATACTCTCGCTCATAGGCGCGGCACTCACCAGTAGCGAGATCACCTGGAAGTTCATTCTGGGGGCCTTCCTGCTGGTCTGCGGCTTCTCGCTCAACGTCTACGCCAACTACGGCTGGTGCCTGAGGTGTATGCAGTCCGGCATGGTGCCTCGCGCAGTCGGATAGCTTCTGACCGGGGCGAAACTGCCTCCACAAAGCGACCCGCTTCTCCTCTGCGCTCTTGCACAACAAACGCTGTCAATGCCTGTTGCCACCCGAGCGTCTCCCCCCCTCATCCGCCTGCCTGTTGTGCATAGCCTGCGCCACTTGTTGCGCCCTTAGTGCTGCAGCAGGGGAAGGAGGGTCGGGGGTGAGGGAAAGAGGGAGTGAGAGGCCATCCGGGACATCCTACGTGGGCCAGGATTGCGTTGATGCCCACCAGGATCTGTTCAGGCGCCTACCAGGAATTATGTTTGAACCCTCCCACGACACATTCTGTCAGGACATTCTCTGGATTGGCGGCGGCGTACTCGGGCGTGGACAAAGGCGAGTGGGAGGAGACGGGATGCGAGGGCAGACATGATGGAGAGAGGCATGGGTATCTCATAGGAGGGTGGTTGGCGTCGCCGTCGGACGAAGGAAATGAGAGCAACCCCGTAAACGCGTCACCGACCCCCAGGAGCCGAAAAGACGAACTTCGAAAACGCGGCGGGCACGAACACTGGAAACCGACACATCCTCCCCAGAAACAAAACCGCGACACTGGAAGGGAAGGAGGGGAGGAAGAGGTCGGCTAGGCCGGTGCGCGGGCGGCAAGCTGAAGCTCATACCCAAGTTCAAGTCCAGCCAGGCAATGAGCGCGTTGTCACTTGTTGTGGCGTTGGTTTCTCTCTGCAGTGCGCCTTCGCCGCAAGTGCATCAAACTGGTTTAACTTGCTTCGCTCTGGATTGTTTTGCTTTGCTCGTTCGTTGGTATGAGTTGGTTGGCTACGCAGTTCGCAGCATTGCAATGCGAGTGTAGCACATTGGGTTACATTGTTCGCATTTGTTTGCAGTGCTTTTCAGAGTGATGGTACGCAAACGAACTGCAATGCAGTGCTGCATGCTGAAGAATTCAGAGCAAAGCAACGAACATCAATTCTGTAAAGTAAAACACTGCGCACATTGGCCCATGCAGCGCAATGCAATGCGAATACGTGCAATGCAGCGCAAGTCGAAGCAATGGTATGCCGAGCAGCACGGACATATTTATATTGCACGGAAGACAAAGCAACCGAATGCAATGCAAAGCAGCACAGCACAAAGTGACACAACACACAACATACAAAGACCTGCACAGCAATGTGGTGCGAATCAAACGCAATGTACTACAATGCTGTGCTTTTCAAGATAATGCTTTACAGTGCAGAGTTACGCAGCAATGCGATATTGTGCGCATCCTCCTCATTCTTGTCTACTTCCCCTCCTGATCCTGGTTACCTCTTTCTGGTATTCAAGACGCTTCGCGTTCACCGCCTGTCCTCTTCAGTTCTCGCCGGACGAGGCGAGGACGGCTCCACGACGGCATGAACATATGCAGACAATCATACAAGACCCCCCGCAGGTATGTTTTGTTGTTTTTGCCTGCGCTCCATCGTTGTTCCCAACCCGTAGCCTGTTAGGGTCAGGCATGCCGCGTGGCTGATCGATCGTAAATTTGCGATTTGGTCGTCGCCCCGTCATCAATACCAACGAACCAGTGATATGGACGTTGGCTCTCTGGGCCCTTGTTTACTATCAACATCAAGAGGCCATACATAGCCCGAGTACTGCCCAAGATCAACCAAAAACGGCGCGAACGCTGCCTAAAGAGAGCCAAGCAGGGACCCATGCGGCTCAGGCGGGCGTTGAACGGCCGAAGCGACAGCACGTCCGTGTTGGGCCGTAACTCCGTCGGAATGCCACTGAACATTTGGCTTGTTTGGGGCTGGTTTGGGTTCTGGCTTGGGGCCCACGAAAATCCCAGGAGCGTCCAACATATATCTTGGATCGAGTCTACAAGCGACGTAGGTGTGGGAGCAGGTGTATGTAGGTACAGCACGAGTTGCAGGTCCCAGGTAGGGGGTCGGGGTTCTGACGATGCATGCAGGCGTCTGGGTCGGTGCTTGTCTTGGGCGTCATGTTCTGCTTGGGTGTGAACTCAGGCATGGCTTGCGGGGTCATGTGGTTTCTTACCATAGCACTTGACGCTGCCCGAGATCTAGTGGCCTTCGTGCCTGGGTTGTTGGTTCCGAAGCCTCTTGGATGCTGCTCGGGGTTGCGTGGGATGCTTTGAAAGGCATGCGGAAACAGTATGGTGTTCACGTTGGTGCAATCGCTATGACCTGCCGAAGTGGTATCGTGAGCGTCATGTGGATCCCTGCGGGCGTGGGTCCCTGGTGCTAGGGAGGCGTGTCGGATGCTTCATGGCTAAAGTGGCATCCCAGTGGTACCGCTGGAGGCATATCGATCGAAAGGGAGTTGGATTGGAAGAGGGGGAGGAGGAGGAGGAGGAGGAGGAGGAGGAGGAGCAGGAGGAGAAGGAGTATGAGGAGGACGTGAGGGAGGAGGAGGAGGAGCACGAGGAGGAGGAGCAGCAGGAGGATGAGGAGTATGAGGAGGACGTGAGGGAGGAGGAGGAGGAGGAGGAGGAGGAAGAGGAGGAGAAGGAGAAGGAGGAGGAGGAAAGAGGCATGTAGTAGGGTTGACGCAGGGGACGACGACGACGATGACGGCGACGACGACGACGATGACGACGACGATGACGTGGACGACAACGCAGCTAGACCTGGCGTGAACCATAACAGTCTGTGTCCGCGAGCCTCCGGGATGCCTCTTGGGTGCTTCTTGAGTATGTGGGCTTCAAGTGGTACCATTCGGGCACCAGTGCAGGATCTCGGGCCCTCTTGGGGATCGTGTTGGGGCCTCTTCTGGGCCTGTCGGGAGCGTCTTCGGGCTTTTTGGGTGCCCTGTTGGGTTTTTGGGGTGGGCTCTTGGGGCCTCCTGCGGGGCCTCTTGGGACGGAGGGCTAAAAAGGTTGGTTCGGGCTCCTCCTGTTGGGCCCTTCTTGGGCCGTCCTGGGGGCCTCTTGGGTGGAGCCTTTTTGGCGGCGTTTTGGTCAATTTTTGGGTGATCTTGGAGCCCTCTTGGGCCGTTTTGGAGCCCTCTTGGGCTGTCTTGGGCCCACTTGGGTTGTCTTGGGGCCCTCTTGGCGGCCTCTTGGGCCGCCCCGTGCGTCTTCCGGTTAAATCCAGGCCTGTTCTAGGCTGTTTTGGGTCCAGTTTGGGGCTTACGTGGGGCCCCGAGTCTGCCAAAATGGACCGCGGAGCGCGCTCAGAAACGGCGTTTAAATTTGAAAGAGGAAACATATCCCAGAAAATAGCCCGAAAGGCAGCGGAGGCGTCCTCGGAACGATCTGAAAATCGAGCTCGTCCTGGAAGCCGTCGTGGAGGCGTGTTGGGGACCGACAAAGGGGCTTGGGCGCAGCCGGGCGGCGGAATGGCGTAGGCATCCGGGGGGGAACTAACGGGCGGGGGGAACTAACGGGGGGGGGGGGGAATTCTCGTAGGTAAGTCTCACACGCCCCTCAGCCCGGCGGGCGGGTGGATTCAAGAGGCTTACGCCCTTCCGCCGACCCCAGAAGAGGGAAGACGTTCATGGGTGGGGCCTCTTGGAGACCTTTTGGGCCTCGTCTGGGCCTCTTGGGGGCCTCTTCGGGCTTCTTGGTAGTGTCTTGGGTGCCTGCTGGCGGTCTCGGGGGTCCTCTTGGGGCGGAGGGCTGGGGATGCCAGTTCGAGTTGCCCCTTTATCAGGCTCTGAGGTCCCTGGGGGAGCGTTGATGAGCTGAGGCCCCCCACCCCCTGCTCCCTCAAATTCGATTTTGGATTCCAGGCGATGGGGCCAGGGGGAGGTGTGACAGCCAATCATATTTCACGACAGTTCACCCCTTGCAAACGAGGGTCGGTGGGTTTCTCCGGATCCTCTCCTCATTATCGTCCCCATCATGCTCCTGACCTTCCTTCTTATCATCCTCGTCCTCATCAAGGCCCTCACCCTTAATGGTCTCATCCCCCTGACTCTTGTCCTCCCCTCGCTGATCATTATCCTTCTCATCCTCCCCTTCCTCCTGAGCATGCTACTGCCCCTCCTCCTTATTACCGTCATCATCCTGCTGACCATTAACGTCCTCATCCGAAATTTGCCAGCGGTGCGAATCCGATCGGAGAGGCTCGCCTACGCGCCGCAAGTTGGAGCTCATAACAAGCTCAGTGCAATCTAACATAGGAGTGCGCTGTTACATGTTACGGTGTCGCTTCGCTTTGCCCGATTTTCGAATTCGAATCAATTTCTTTGGTCGGATTGGTCGGATGTGCTTGCCATGCGTCGCACTTGCATTGCATTGCTTGACGATGATGTGTGCTGCGTGTGCTTTGAAGCCGTTTGTGGTGTAGTTGGGACTTGCATTTTTTTGGGCATTGCGTTGTGCTGCTTGTTTTGTTTGACAGCGGTGCAGTGCATAGCAGCTACCTCGCAATTCAATCTTACACAACGCTATGCACATCACATGCGATGCACTGTAGCGCGATGCAACGCAATGAATTGCGAACAATCGTGGAGATCAGTCGCATGCAAACCCAACACACTGCCATGCAGTGCGCATAAACCAGCCTCATAACAATGTGGCGTCGACTGAAGTACGATGGGTGCAACACAAAGCAATGCGATTGCACACCAAAGCGCCACACATTCAATGCAGCAACATGCTACGCGCATCACAGCACTGCTAGGCCATGCGAAGGAATGCAATGCGATGCGCTGCGAGCAGTGCAGTGCGGTGAACTGTAAGTCAACGCAGTGCAGAGCAATGTAATGCCCAGGTATCCGATGCACTGCAACGCAACGCAGTACAGTCATAAGTGCAGTGCGATGCAAGTTTAATGAACGCGCAGCAGTGGAACAAATGTAGCACACAGCAGTGCGAACGCATTG